ACTTCTCTTTTCTTTGGAATTTCCCCATTCTCTAGAATTTCCCTGTTCTTTTAGTTCTTTATATCTCTGGGTAAAAGAACATTCATCATGGCACAGGACAATCTTTAAAGATAAGCATTTGGCTTGGCAGGGACAGAATAGTCCCAGAGCTGATATCTTGTCCTTTACGGTGGAGGGCAAAGTTAAAATGGAATCTTCATAGCTAACACTGCCTTTCACATCTCCCCCTTTTTTATATTATATGTCAAGTTCCCTTGATCACGCAGATAGACTGTGCCTGTCTTAGGCAAGGAATACAAAGAAATCCCTTACCCATCATGGAGTCAAGAGTGTCACAGTACTCTTGCTCTGTCTTAGGTTGGTGATTTCCTGTACTTCTCTTACCCATCATTGACTACCAGCCTCTGCAGGGGATTACACCATGGGCCTAGGTGGCGCAGCATATAATTGTAGACCATGGATACTTCCAGCCATCCTCATTAAAGAATGCACAAACACCCGCAGTAGCACCGGAAGGATCATGCATCCAAGAAGTAACCCTCCTCCAATGATTACTACAGAAATGAGTAACCATGTAAATGAAGATGCAGATGGCAGAACTTTTCTAATTTGTTCAATAAAATCCTGTGCAGCCTGGGTTGCATCAAATTTTAGGGGCTCTACATTTTGGAGATCCATAATTTCCTTATGAAGCTGTATTAAATCCAAGGACACATTCGCACTGTGCCAGACCCCTTGCAGATGTTTCCTAATCCTATCCCACTCATAACTTGCATCATTATATATCTTACTAGTAACACAAATCCATTGATAATCAGCATGACATTTTAATTTGTTTCTAATTTTAAGCCCTTGTATTTCATTTCCTAAATATGTGACAATAGAATATAGGGCATCTATTCTTTGCTCCATCTTAAGATCTATATCCTCCTGTGTTTTCAATGCCATAGTAACATTTTTTGACAACTCATTCACATAATATGCATTTTGTATAGATTGAGAGAGGGCAACGGCGGCAGTAATGGCAGTGGCTATAAGGGATATAAGTGCAATTACTCCAGCAATAATTAACCCTACTACTCTTTTTTGTCTACTTAGAGCCTTATTAATTTCTTCAAACACCTGTAATCCCTGATCTGCATACCATGCCCCCGTAACATTAACTGGCGTCATAACAAATGCTGGCTGCTGCAGAACCATCACCTGATTTTCTGTCCGGGTGATACAATTACTTATTTGAAAATTAAAGCAAGTAACATTATAATAATCATTACCTTTCTGAATATTAACGTTTCCTACAAGCAATACATAAGGGCGCATGACACATGCAGTGACATTTCCTCTGGGATGATAAGAATTCTCGGGTTGGGCCTTAACCTCATCCAAAGCTGCAGCCAATTTCCAAATATATGTTTGAGCATATCCTTTGTCACTCCACCATAACCCTGCAGAGAGCGCTATCTCACTTAACGATGTGGGACTAGGAGAGGAAGAATTATACATCTGAGTAGTGGCATAATCCTGAGATTCAGACCAATCCAAAACATAAGTATCAAATCCAGTAATATTATATCTCACAGGGGCATCCGCCGTACATCTCTTCCATGGAATAGTGTTATTGGAGCATTCTCTCCTCCCACAAGGTGGAAAAGTCTGAGGCACTACACCAGTGGTCTCCATACCCACAGGTAGATGTAGACGGACTCCAGTGATCCCGCCTTTGCATTGATCTACCTGCCTTTCTGCCAGGGTGCAAGCACTCAGTCTTATACAACCAGTCTTATTGATTTTGGAGAAACATATGGGGGTTCCGGTTCCTGATCCCGTATAGTTGAACGATCAGGCCTCGTTCTTGTCAGGGGCTGCCGGCTCATCCAACAGCCTGGTATTGTTCACCCATACCATTACTTCTCCACTTTCCCAGCTCATTGGATGTACAACAGGTGGATCAGGTACATAAGCCCAATAAACTTCCCCATTAAGCATCATCATCAGATTTATCAGCAGGACAGTTGTCGGGATCATCCTGAGGGGCAGGAGAATTTCCTGTGAAATGGACCAATCTTTCAGGCAGCCACCTGGCACCTTCAGCGTCCTGCAAGAAAACACAAACATGCCCTCGCCCCCATATCAATACCGGGTCAGGGCCACTCCATACACCCATGAGAGGATCTTTCCACCTCACTTGAGCATATGATGATTTAGTTTTAGGATGCCACAGCCATTCTGCTGCAGTCATTCCATGAGCATCCACAATCAGAAAGTTCAAGATGAAGAGAACATGATGTAAATAATTCTGTGGGGATAAAGGGTATAACTCCCCCTTTTTTATTTTGTGCAATTGATTTTTTAGAGCACCATGGGCTCTTTCCACAATCCCTTGGCCTTGTGGGTTATAAGGAATACCTGTCTTATGGGCGATACCCATCTGTTTACAAAAGATTTGAAAAGCTTTACTAGTATATCCCATGCCATTATCAGTTTTAAGAATGATAGGGACCCCAATTGTGGCAAAGCATGTTAAGCAATGGGCTATCACATGCTTCGTAGCTTCTCCAGTTTGTGCGGTGGCCATAATAAATCCCGAAAAGGTATCAATACTTACATGTATATATTTTTGTTTTCCAAATTCGGCAACATGGGTAACATCCATTTGCCATAACTGATTGGGTTTAAGGCCGCGGGGATTTACCCCATAATGAGGGACAGAATGATGTATAGGACAGGCAGAACATTGCTTAACTATTTGTTGAGCGGCTTCTCGAGTTATATGGAATTGTTTTCTTAAGCTGTGGCTATTTTGATGATGCAGTGCGTGAGACTGCTGAGCTAATTCCAATTGACAGAAAGCTATTAGCCATTTAGCCTGATCCACAAGATCATTTCCCTTTGCCAGGGGCCCAGGAAGCCCAGAATGAGCCCTAATGTGACCCACATGACAAGGACAGGTCCGGGCATGTATGCACCGTTGTATCTGAGCAAATAGCTCCTGTATTTGATTATTGGCAGCATCAATATAAGCAACTGTTTCAAGCACCTGTAAAGCTTTAACAATATAATGACTGTCTGTATACAAATTGAAAGAATAATGGGCCAAAAGTTTAAATACCATAGTAATGGCACGAAGCCCAACAATCTGAGTGGAGGTGGGGGCTGTATGAACAATCTGTGGCTTGCCGTGAATAACATATGCCCCAATACCATTGGAAGACCCATCAGTGAAAACCACTTGAGCATTTTTTATGGGTTCCTGTTTCATAATCTTGGGAAACACCAAAGGATGAATATTAACAAATTGCAATAATTTATCCTTGGGGATATGGTTATCTATACATCCAGGGTAATGTACAAAAGCAATGGCCCACAGGTCCACATTTTGGAATAGCCAATCTAACTGTTGTTTGGTAAACAGGACTCCTATTAAGGAAGGCTCCGCTCCAAAATATTTTCGAGATTCCTCCCGCGCCATATGAACTAGGCACGCCACAGATTCATAATAGGGAGTTAACACTCTGGCTGGAGAAACAGGCAAATGCAACCAAAGCAAGGGACCATCTTGCCATAAAACGGCAGTGGGAGTACGTGCTGTTGCCAGAACATAGGCAGCCCATCCTCGAGCATAATCTATATATTGAACTTGTTGTCATTCTATAGTTTGTTCTATCTCACACAAGGCCATCCAACCTTTTTCAGTTAATTTTCTAACCGATGTAGGTTCAGAATCTCCCCGGAGGATATTGAATAAAGGTTTTAATTCTCCGGTGGAGATTTGTAAATATGGTCTAAGCCAATTAATATTTCCTAACAATTTCTGAAAAATCATTTAAAGTGTGTAAATTGTCTTTCCTAATTTGAACCTTTTGAGGTAATATAGATTTGGGATATAACTTATGTCCTAAATAGGAATATGGTGGCTCAGTCTGAACCTTTTTAGGTGCAATCATCAATCTGTGATCCTTCAAAGTTTGTTGTAAATGAGCATAGGCTGTTAATAAGAAGCCTTCTTGTCTATGAGCTAAAAGTATATCATCGATATAATGAACAATATAGATTTGGGGATATGTTTGCCTAACTACATTTACTACTTGAGCTACAAATTTCTGACATAAAGTAGGACTATTAGCCATACTCTGAGGCAACACTTTCCAATGATATCTCTTCATAGGCTCCTTAAAATTTGTTGAGGGTACGCTAAAAGCAAATCATTTACAATCTTCAGGAGTAAGTGGAATAGTATAAAAACAATCCTTTAAATCTACAATGATCTTATAAGTATTTCTAGGCAAAGCTGATGGCATAGGCAACCCTGGTTGCAAGGCTCCCATTACTTCCATAGTCTGATTGACTTTTCTAAGATCTTGTAATAATCTCCATTTCCCTGA